CCAACCCTTGAGCTGGAGTGCAAGTTTCGTGTTAAAATAATAAACACATAGCAGAAATTGTAGCGCCCTGTGCAGATCGGGGATCGGGGATCGGGGATCTCGTGGAGGACTCTGTTGCCGGGTGTACCCCGGAATCGGGGTCATAATTCCATTACAGAACTACTTCGACTCTGGCCCAGCACCGGGCACATAAATTATATTAAAAACAATATTTTCACCCGGCTTCGAACTCGGTTGAACTTCACACGGCAAAGTTTCTGCCCCTCGCATTCTTCTTAGTTTTTTTCCCGACTCCAGTTTTTGCATTTTAAATTGCCAGGACAGCAAAATGCCGTGGCAAGTTTAAACAATTACCTCCGCAACAGCAACAGCAACAGCAACAGCAACAACATCAGTAGTGGTAACAACAACCAAGAGCGAAAAAACAATATGAAATTATTATAATGACAATTAGTGTTAATTGTCACTTTCGGCGCGGAATGTTGCTTTCGGTCTCCGCTGAATTATAATTTGCCGGTTTAGAGGAAATTAGCATTTTAAATGAGTTTCTTTCTGTTCCCTCCGTTGTGTTGTTTGTGTTTGTTGTCGGCCTAAGCAAACAACAATAACAATAATAATAATAATGCAACATGAAAGTCAATGGCGAATTAAAAACTGTAATTACTCAATTATTATGCATAAATCAGAACAAAAGCTTGCGAGGAGCGGATAAAAGTTGAGAAGGCTGTAATGGAGGCTACTTAATGACAATTCTGGGTAGCTCGTCAAATTGGGTTTTTCATTGGCAGAGGGAGGGGCGGGCCGGGCCATAAAGATTTTAACGATTTCCAGTGGGCGTAGAGCAATTAAGCGAGTTTGGGAAAATTTAATTAAAGCCTCGACAAAAAGACTCCCAGTGCCTATTGTAGGCTCAGATAAATTGAAAACCATTCATTATCAATCCGGAAAAAGAACTTGGAGTTGAGGGGGAGGGAAATTAGGAGGAATATTTAAGCAGGCGCCGGCGTGGGGCAGGAATATTGAGTGATAAATGTATCTCAATCTGTGCATGCCAAATTCATCTGACAGTCGCTTCCTAATCCTTTTGTGATTACTTCGAGCCATAACTCAGCATTTGTCAGTTGTCGTTTAGATTTAAGTGCCAAACTTCGGGGATAACGCAGGAAATCATTAAAAATATTTCAATGAGCTGGAATTGACCGACGCAGCCGGAGCCAGTGAAAATGCAGAGCGGAAACTTTGCAATTTCAACTTTTTTGTGTCCCTTTTCCAGCCACGCGCATTAAGCACAGTTAGGAGAGGGAAAATAAAAAATTAGAGCTCTAAAATCAAATCGAAATGACGCACTTAATGGCATTTTATGGTTTATGCGCAGTATTATTATTATTCCACCTCTGCAGGACCCCTCCTTTATCTCGAAATCAAACACTTTTCACCCACGGAATGTTTGATTTCTTTTCATAGATTTTCCACGAAAAGTTTCCTTTCACTGCTGGTCAAGATGGTGGGTAGGGTAGGGTGAAAGTGACGTCATCTATCCACTGCGGTCTGACTCTTTTGGCCAATTGGTAATTTCGTTATTAGTCACGCTCTTTGCGCTTCATTAATGTTCATTACACATAAATGAACCCACATCGATTGATATTTTCGAACTTCGTCGTCGCCGATGTCGTTGGCGGTTTTTAGTGGCTGTAATTTTTGTATTGTGGTTGACGTTTTTGCGGTTTGTCTGCCCAGCACCACCTACTTTTGCCTCTTCCGTACGACAAAAAAACATGCGTTCCGCCGCAACCCCTGCAGTTTTATTTATTTATGAACCCGAAGCGGAGCTGGGGGAGCCAGGGAAAAGGGTTGCTCGCATGGCCAATTTCCTCCGACTAATACAATTAATTATATAAATAAACATTTTTATTTATATTTATTGGAGAATTGGCCAAGACACAAACTTTGAACTTTCCCCGAGCACATATGCTCTATGTTTGAGTACAGGGGGCGCCCTGCACGGATAGGGGTTGCTCCAGGGCCAGGGAATTTATTGTACACGCTTAATTGAGCACTGGCAACTCGAAAGGTTGAGCAGCTGATTGACTCCGCCGCCGAGCGCCCTTGTACCATTTTTTATTCCATTTTTTATGACTTTTCGCTGGAAAACTGTGGGTCGCGGGGTGGCTTCTGGCCTGGATGGCAGGAATTCTCGAAATCGTTGGAAGTTATTTAAAATAGGATTTTATATTATGAGCTTAAACAGCTGGAAATTTATATTTTTGTATATTAAATATGCAGGCTCGGCTCGAGTCTATCTCCTGGCGGGGTTCATTCTGGGCATTCTTTCGGGAAAATGGGAAATGGGAAATGGGAAAACCGGAGCAAAACGGGTCAGATCTGGCGGGGTGAGCTAAAATGATTATGCCACTTGAGCGGCTTAGACTGATAAACTCATATGGCTGGCTTCAGTGCGCTTTGAAGTGGCACAAAATCGAAAACATAATATGGGGAGAAGGGAGATTAGATTCGAAAGTTTTGGAAAGGATCAAATATTGAAATCCGCTTAAATGGTAAACAAAGACAAGGCACTCGAAGGGGCTGGAGTCTCTGACATGATAAAATGCTTCGAGTAGTTCTGTACTTCAAGGACAGAGAGGAAAATTCTTTGCCGAAAAGCACTTTTCTTCTGGGAAGTTTCTGCTGTAATTTACACAATTGCCGCTCATTAAACGCGAAAAGAAAGCGGTTTGTTTTAGGGTCGTGACTAGGAGGGAGATGAGGGGGCTGCTCTTGGAGAAACGCAAACAATTAATAAATTTTTAAGTGCATGGCAAATCATGCCCCGCACGCTGACCTCAAAGTTCTGGACAAACCAAACTCAAACCTAGCAAATGGCTCTGCACACAATACATTATTAATTTTCACCAACCTCTGACCTCCCAGCCCCCCTTCTCACCCAACCCCCCTCCGGATGCACAACAAACAGCGCTTAATTTGCCAAATGGTTGCTTCTGCTTTCCCACTCCACTGCCCCTCCGCCACTCCTCCCCTCCTCTTCTCTGTTGCACTTAATGCAAAAAACTGCAAGTTGTAGTTTACTTTTTATTCATGGGACAGCGGGGGAGTTTAAGGGAAGGAGACCGGGGAGCTGGGGGAGTGGACTTGAAGGGGCGGGCTAGATGCAAAATACCTTGGCCAAAATGGCGAAAAAGCGGAAATCGGTGAAGAAGCTGGGGGAAAGCACAAAAGCAAAGCCAAAATAGGGAAAACTTCTTTTTCAAGGATAAAAGGGGATAGAGTTTCAGGGGAGGTAACGAAACCTATGATACCCAGTTAAGTAGTTACTTAAATGTAGGAATTAAGTAAATAAATTGAATTTATTTATTGTCTATCAAAGTCTGAACTAAACCCTAAATGAATTATGGAGTCTTTAGACTGACTCAAGACTGACTTGAAGAAAGAATAAAATGTTACTCCTTTCGTGGCAGCCAAAACTACTCCTAGAAATTCAGGATTCCACGGTAACAAGATTGTACAAATAGTGGCAAAGCTGGCAGCCCTCCCGAAACTCCCTCCCTTCTTGCAATTCCTGCTTGAGAGTAAATTGTAGCGGCAAACTTAAACGAACTGCGTAGAGCGGGGTCAGCTAGAACAGAAATTCATTAAAACTTTGCATTGTGCTCCAAAATTGCCCCACAACAACTGCTGGCTGAGGATACAACAACATTAAGTACTGGCTTATTGCAAACTAATTTGTCTAGGGCGATTTGGCCGAGAGGTTAGGTGGGGAGCCCTGCTCCACTAAGCCCAACCCCAGAACGGCTCACTCAATCTCATCCTTACTGCCTGCCGCTGATGACGCGACAAAATCCAATTAATACGCTAGACAAATAAAACGCTCCACTCCCTCCCAGGGAGAAGTCCTTGGAGCCAGGATGGAAGGGGCAATGGAAAGACCGTTTAGATAGAGCAATAACCAAATGTGTCTGCGAACAAACACGCGCGACTCCGCATAACATTTTTCACCCACTCCGCTCGGTCGGGTTAGTCAAACTTGAGGCACACTATATCTCAATATGGGAATCCGCTTTGTGGCCGGGGTATTCGGTTCCCTTTGGTCCTTGTCGCCATGTCTGGCATATGTGTCCTTTGCCCGTCCCTCTTCCCGGAAAGCATTTGTGAGCTCCCGCCACGCGCTTTGTTTACTCAAGTTAACCAGAAAGTTTTCTTTAAGATTTACGCTTAACTTATACGTGATAAAACTTTTATCACTATGACTTGTTCGCCCTCGCCCTGCCCCTCATCCCTTTCTGTGGCTTTGACAGAGTGCTCAGAGGTGGCTGACAAGGAAGTCGAAGAGATTTGGCAGCTAATTGCACAGCCAATATGAGGCGATTGGAATGGACCGGGAGTGCAGCTAATAAGCGGCAGCAGGGATCAACTGCTCGGCTCGAATGCAACCCCTAATCCGTAATCCCTGATCCTGGGCCCTTGTTGTTCTAGTCTGGAAAAAGGATACAGCCGGGGGCTGATTCCGTATGCTTAGCATGCCACAAATTTCACTGTTTATATTTGTTTAAGGTTATTGCCGAGGCTGGAAGAACTACATTCCCTACACGGAGAGACAACTCTCGATTTTGTTTTATTACAAGGGAATAACTTTTGAAATCAACATCAGGGGATATCACTGACCGAAAGTTTCTTATATATGTTAAATTTCAGGCTAAAAATACTGCTGGAATCCTAGTGATAGTCTAACCACTAAATTTCCCTCAGTGTACGCCCAAGAGCCGCTCCCCCAAAGGAAAGTGGGAATCACTTGAGTACTTCTGATGGCAGCCGCTTATATCATCGGAGTTCGGGCGACGGCACTCTGAAACTTTTATTAACATAAACTGCGAGTCCAGGCAGGACTTCATCTCCTCCTCCCCAAAGGGCATAAATTTCACTTGGAGCTGGCCAAACTTTGACCAGTATATCTATTAAACCGTTGACTCTGGGTGGACTGAACTCACCGTTATGGCGATGTCGTGACTGGGGTCACACGTGTCCAGCTTGCGTCGGAACCGGAGGACCGTGTGCGTCGCATTCTCGTAGCCCAGCATCAGCATATAATCCTGCGAAGGATCCACCAGGGGTTCGGGGTCGCCGTTCCGTGTGACGTGTCGATCCTGTAATTAAATGCAGCGAAAGCGAACGGGGATTAATGAATGGAAAATGCGAGAAAAATGAGAGAAAAATGCTTAATTTACTCAGAGCTTTTGCGTCTTTGTAGGGACTCTGTGTTTCGTTCGGGACCCGATATCGGACATATTTTCATATCATTAAGCAAGAAGTCCCCCACCCGTGTTTTCTGGGCTCTGACCCCCCAGAAATGCAGAGCTTTCCCAGCATGGGAGCTCACGTTTTCCATGTACATTTATTACATTATGTGCTCTTTTTTTTCTGGCTATTTTTCCCTTGGTAAAATAATTTAAATTTTCTTGCTCCTTGCTTAGTCCTTGCACTTTTAGCTTTTCCAAGTGTTTTGACAGAGTTGCCAAGTTTAAAGTTCTATAAGTAGTTTTGGCCAAGACGAGAGCAAGAAGCAGATGAGCAAACCCTTTCTCGGTTTAAAAATACAAAAATTTGCTTGGGCTCCTGCCTCGAAAGGACCTCCATGCCCTCCCCCGCTTTTCCCCATTTCTTCTCCGATTCCTTTGCACATGTTGGCCAGCCTCGTCGAACACAGAAGCCAGATATCCGTGGGTGTATGTAAATTCTTATACATATAACAACATGACCCCTGTCTGCCTGCTCAATATTTGGAAAATGTTCTCTCAGCTTGTTGTGGCTGAGTGCTGGGCGGTCGATGGAGGGTGGTGGGTGGCGGGTGGCGGGTGGCTAGGTGCCTGGTAAAAGGATTCGGCTTTTCATATTGGCAGTTGACTGCAAATGGGCGTTATGCCTGCCATCTTCCCTTGTCAATCCCCGTCCCCATCCACCGCTTTCTTTCTTCTTCATCTTTTTGTTGTTTGGCAAAAATTTTGATGATGTTGGCAAAGTCAAAAGTGAAGTGGGTTGAGGAGGAGGAGGAGGAGGTGGGCAGAGAGATTGGAACCTCTTTCCGCCCTCTGACCGTAATTGAAGCTGATGGAATTCGGGGAGTTGTCTTCAATGTGGATATTTCAAAAATTTTATTGATTTAATTATTTGTTTTCTTATGGAAAAGGAAGCAAGGCTCTTGCTTTTCAAATATTCACTTTACCTTCTGTGTGTGGTAGAAACATCGAAAGGTTCGTTTTGGTTTCCACTTTGCCGAAATTCGATTGAGATGTTAGACTATTTCGGGCTTATGAAATCTCAAAGCCTGAAAGGTCTGACAGATGAAATAAGTTTTGAATTACTTAACTGGTTTTGAATTCAATAATTTCGCTATATTCATTCGGAAGATTGCATTCTCCATCATCTAGAAGGAAGCACCCAGCTGGTGGTCAGTTTTCCACGCCACCCTCCCTCCCTATGCCACCTGAGCATTTGATTTATTTGTGTTAATGCCCCGTCTTTTATCACACTTAACAGGATGTGCACTTTCCCAAGCTGTTTTATCCCGGCTGACAGATTATAGCGCATAGAAAAAAGTTATCCATCTGTCTTACCCTCGGCCGGAGCCCCTTCCCACCACTCCTAACCATTAGATAGCAAAATGAGCGTTTTCCATCATCTAATTACATCGAAAATTTCCCACAATACACACGCAAGCGGAGGGGCTGACTCACCCACCCACGAGCACACACACCTGAGGCTGTTGCAATTAATTTGCCCCAATTTATATCATCTGGATCCACCGCCGCGTGTTGTTGTCGAGCGAATTACATGCCGGCATTTAATTAATCATATCTCAGGGCCTGCGCCATTGCCATTTGCCATTTTAGTTAGCTAATTAAAAGTTTTTTCTCCGCTCGTTCCGTTTCATTTCGTTTCGCTGGCTGTTGCTCTGCCGAAACATTTAACATAAATTTTGTAGAATTATTTCCCATCTATGGCGTAGATAATATTCCTTCCTTTCCGTTCCTCCGCGGTCCCATTGCTGTCCCTCTCTTTGCCAGGTGGTAATCTGGGAACGCATAATTCAAGATCGCAGGCGCGCAGTTCCTTTTCCCGTTTTGCCTGTTTTGCACAGTTTCCCTTTTAATTTCACATTATCTACTCAAACCTGAACCCACACACACACACACACACACACAACACTCGTACATAGATTCGTACATACAGTCATACCTTGACATGTTTCTCGCTTATCTAGAAAAAAGGGAGAGGGAGAGACAGCAGCAACTGACGGAAATTAAAAATACGCGCTGCAATGTTGCAAGCACCCAACATGAAGCGACGTTATCAAAATCTGCGTGTGCGTGGGCGTGGTCGGTGGGCGGAAGGGGGCTAAGAGAGGGGGCTGGTTTCGCAGGGTCGTTGAGGGGTAATTATGCAAAAAGGGAAGGCGCATAAATTTGCAATATTCTTGGAGCTGCTCTCAAATGCCAACGACGTTTAAACTGCTCACAACTTTCTTTTATGGGTGTGTGTTGCTATCTGTGTGGGTGTGACTGTGTGTGTTGGCAGCACAAAGGCGTCGAAGAAGAAGCAGAAATGTCGCCAATGTCGACTGAAGGGAACTCTTAGCTTTTGGAATGAAGAATGAAGAGTACATGAGTTTTCCAAGGGAATTTGGAATAATTCCCATGGTTGCCCTCAGAAGTATGCTACACTTTCAGCTCTAGCAGTCAAAATCGAAAAAAAATCTATAAACTGGTTTCTATGTCAATAAATTGATATAACATCTTCAGTATATTGCCTAAAGAGTATTTCCCTAGGAACTTCAAAGAAATTTGAATTTCCTACTTCCTTTTTAAGTTGCATGCCACGTTGACTCGGCTCTCTGGTTGTACTTGTCGCGGGTCCTCGACGCTGCGTTTCCCCACTTGCCTGCACCTACACCTACAGTCTCACCTCTCCATCCGGATCCGGTTCTCTACTCCCTCTCCTTTTCCTTCCCCATCTACTACTCTGTCCCGTTCTCGTTGTCAACGCACACGTTTTTTTAATTGCTGAAATTTTATCACACCTTCATGGTTCGCAGGACTCGTAAATTGTAATCCTTGCGCGGCTCTCGTCGCGTCTGCCCGACTACTTCTGCTCGAGCAGACAGCTCCTTGCCCTGGTTTGGCCTTTTTGCGATGTTGTCATTAACGTCGCTGCCTCTTAAGCATTTAATAGCCTTGTCAAGACTTTAATGCCTTTTAGCCGGAGCAGCTCTCCTAATGTGTGTGTGTGTGTGTGTGTAGGATGGTGGATGGTGGCCGGGGGAAATCAATAAAAGCAGCGCACAAATTAAGCACCTTTTGAGCTCCTCCCCTTGCCAGTTGGTTTACTTTGCTTTTCCAGGCCGCAACGTGAATTTAATAGGATTATGCAGCAAACACGAGGAGGCAGCGGAGCGGAGGAGGCGCAGGCGGGGCAGAAACTTATGCAAAGTCCTTCCACTCTGTGTCGCCGTCACTGCATTGCTTCGAACCCGTTACGCCCTCACACAACATGAGCCTAATTGTCCTGATTTTGGCCTGATGGAAACTTTTCACACTCACATTCGCAGAAAGGATTGGAGAAGACCTCCGCCCAAGTTTTGTTATGCCAAAAACAAACTTCGGCAATTTATGATAATTCAACGTCAGCTGGGACAGTTCAGTGAAGTACATAGAGGGGAACCGTCATCACGGCAAACTGAGCCCGACTCCGCTCAAGTCATCTGAACTCAGCTGAACTGACAGCTGGCTAGCAAAAGCCTTAAAATATGCTCGAAGCACACATTAAACTTATTGCCAGTCCTCTCTGCCTCACACTGCCTCACTGCCCCTTCTTCGCCGACTAATGCCCAGCATCGTGTACAGATTTACTCCGCAGCAGACATACAGCAAAAGGGTTGGTTCTCCCACTCACCAACTCGCCCACTACACATATCACACGAATATCAAAATGCTATCCCTCCTTTCTCTATATACACAGACTACTAATATGCGCCTTCGGAGAGTTGCCAGCAAAGTTCTGCGGAGTTTTCACGCTTTGAGAAAGGTTTGCAATCTACGACAGGTTTCCATGAGTTAGATGGAGCGAGCTCTAGGGAGAACGCAAGAAAGGTGATGAATGAAGCCAAAGGTCTCGCTGAGAGCGAGCTATTGATCTCGTAATTTCTAGAGAACTATTCGAGCCCACCTCTGTGGCACGCCCCTTCCTGCTGCCAACTGTCTTAGCTATCTATTGCCATTTGCCAGTGCCAAAATTGTATGCAGTCCACCCACTCCACTCCACCCCCAGACCTGCTCCTCCGCACATCCTGTTAAGTTGGTGGCATTGTAAATTGTTTTCCTGTGCACTGCTTGTCCTTCCCTTCCTGCCCCATTTCCTTGGCTGCCAGCCTGCCAGCCTGCAGTTGATGTATGCTACAGGAGCTTCTTTGGAGCTCCGAGTTTTCCTGCTCCCACTCTTGCCCGCGCTTGTTTTGGCTTAGGAATTGATGGCGTCGCCGACGTCGTCGTTTGATGCCTTATGTACATTTGATTACGTATCCGCCATGTTGCCTGCCTATTTGCCTGCAGGAGTGCACAAAGTCTGCCCTGTGTGTGCGAGTGTGGGTGTGGGAGGACATCCCTCCGCTCTCCCTTATGTCAGCGCCAAAAAGAGAGCGCGCCTCTGGGCAAAGTCATCAAGAAACGAAAACCCAGAATCAGGCTCCAACCCATGCTCAAGCCCAACCAATTCCAAATCCCCCATTCTCTCGCCGGCTGAGGATGCTGATGAGTAGTAAGAACTCAGTGGGGAGGGGGGTCAGCTTGATGATATTGGCATTGGCAGGCGACTTCAGTTGGCTTAAATTACCGCTGCGAGCAAGTATATCAATTAATATAGTTAAAGTGTGTTCAATGGGGGGTGGATGGGGCACGTTGAGTGCTTGGGATTGCATTGAAGCCTCAACCAAAAACCAAAGGAGCTTGTATCCTTCAGCCAGAGTGCTCTTTAGCCCCGGACTCGGGCAAATTAAATCGCTTTCAGTTGATTTTGAGCCATCCTGTCCGCCTGTCCGCCTGTCCGCCTGCCTGTCTGTCTTTCTGTCCATCATTCAGCCCGGACTCATCTTCGG